TGCCCAGCACTTTCGCACCTGCGACCCAATTCACGCACCTGTGGTCCAAACGCGCATCTGCGCAGTTCACTTAAGTCTTCAGCTTCCGCACCTGCGCCCCAGGTCTCGCACCTAAGGGCTCGCAGGTGCGATCAAAACCTCCGCTCCTGCGACAAATACCGCATCTGCAGTTGCTTCCCGTGTCTGCTATCATCGCATCTGCGGTCCCCACTCCGCAGGTGCGGAAACAACAGAAGCAGCAAATTCAGCAGCATCAACTCAAATCCAAACTCTCCGTCAACCACCCTAATTCATCCCGAGGTCCTCGGGACCTCAACCAAACATGCCAACAAGTCATATACCACTATTCAAACTCGTTCCAACCTTCGGAACACTCAAAACAACATCAAAACACCAAATCACCCTTGGATTTAAGCCTAAGCATTTATAAACTTCCGAACTCCGCAAACGATGCCAAAACCTATCAAACTTCGTCCGAATGACCTGAAACCTTGCACACATGTCACAAATGACACATCGGACCTACTCCAATTTGCGAAATTCCAATCCGACCCTGATATCAAGATTTCCACTGCCGACCGGAAAATGCCAAATTTCCAATTTCGCCAATTCAAGCCTAAATCTACCACGTACCTCCAAATAACATTCTGAACATGCTCCTAAGTCCCAAATTTCGAACCATAAAAACCCAATTTCGAGATAATTTACCCACAAGTCAACTTCCAGTTGACTTTACTAACTAAATAACCAACTTAAGAGACGAAGTGTCTCATTCCACCCTAAGACCACTCCGAACACAACACCACCAACACGATATGATGAAATACAGCTGAACAACACAGAAGGAAGGAGAAATGGGAAAAACGGGGCTGTAACTCATAAAACGACCGGTCGCGTCCTTACAACCTACCAGCGGGCCTCCTTCCCCATTTTCATCTTTTCTCTCTCTCTCTCTCTCTCTCTCTCTCTCTTCTTTCTTCCTCCTATTTCCCATTCCTTTCTCCCCCTATTTCTCAGGCCGCCTTTTCCAAGATCCAAACAGGGGTAGCACTTCAGCCACCTTTTCTAGTACTTGTCTCTTTTTTTGGCCCAAGAGGTTGCCCTCTATTGAGTGTTTCAGGTACCTACCCACAAGAGGCTATCGGAGAAGGTGAACATGAGGCAAACATGCAGGCAGAAGTTTGATTTGCGGCTGACGATAGTGAAATTTGTTGCAGTGCGTGGAAGGCCGGAATTGATTTATTGGGTGAGCTAGAGTAGCCTCGACATTGGTTGGTGTTCGCAAAGACCGGTGGGAGTTGGAAGGAAGAAACTCAGTCTTCACGACCTCGAGTGCGCACCAAGTCGAATTTCCAAGTTCTATTTTCGGGAGTTGGTACCCCCCCGCTTTCCTATTTCTCTTCTTTGTGTTAGTTAAATTGTTGTTATTTTAGTTCGCATTAGTTAGTCATACTATTAGCTAGTTTGGTCCGTTGCTTTTTTTGTTTTCCCTTAGTCTGTCGTAGGTATAGTGGTTGTGGTCTAGGATGGTAGAGTAAGGTCATGTCCTTGGGGTAGGCGGGGGTGGGATGGGGTGGGGTAGGGGTCAGGGGGTGAGACGGAAGGCAAGAGAGGTAAAGGGAACAAGGAAGCCTACAAGTTAAGAATTGGTCTTGGAACATAGGTACATTGAAGGGTAAGTCTATTGAGTTAGCAAAAATTCTCTAGAGGAGGAATGTTAGTATAGCTTGTGTCTAAGAGACTAGATGGGTAGGATCGAAGGCGAGGGATGCATACGGGTATAAGCTGTGGTATTCTGGAGTCATAAAAGGTAGAATGGAGTGGGTATCTTGGTGGATAGGGAACTTAGAGAGTCTATAGTAGAGGTTAGGGGGGTGAATGATAAATTAATGTCTGTTAAGTTAGTGATTGGAGGGTGCACCCTAAATATTGCTAGCGCGTATGTGCCGCAAAGGGGCATGGATGAGGAGGTTAAGAGGCACTTCTGGGAGGGGTTGAATGAGATTGTGTGTAGTATTCTGCCTGCAGAGAGGTTATTTATCGAATGGGATTTCAATGGTCATATTGGGTAGACTGCTGATGGCTATCGCGGCTTCGGCTGCGAGGTGCATGACGGCTTCCACTTTGGGGATAGGAACGAAGGAGGTACTTCACTGTAGAATTTCTCTAAGGCATTTGAGCTGGTGATTGCGAAATCTAGCTTCCCGAAGTGGGAGGAGCATTTGTTCACTATCCAAAGTGTGGTGGCGAAGACTCAGATTGATTATCTCCTCCTCGAGAGGTATGATAGAGGGTTGTGCAAGGATTGCAAGATTATCACGGGTGAGACCCTTGCGACGTAGCATAGGCTCTTGGTGATGGACGTCGGTATCATGATTAAGAGGAAGAAGATGTCTATACGAGGACGGCTAAGGATCAGGTGGGGAGCCTTGACTAAGGATAAAGCTCAAGAGTTGAAGGGGAGGTTGTCGGCTATGGGAGCTTGGAGGAGTAGCGGGGACGCGAGCACTATGTGGACGACGATGGCGAACTGTATAAGAGAGGTGTTAGGGGTCTCGAAGGGTTACTCTAGCGAGCACAAAGGCGACTGGTGGTGGAATGAAGTGGTCCAATGTAAAGTGGAAGCGAAAAAGGAAACGTGCTTGAAGTTCGTAAGGAGCACAAGAGAGGAGGAGAGGATAGCAAACAAAGATAGGTATAAGGTAGCTAGGAAGGAGGCGAAGTTGGCAGTCATGGAGGCTAATACTTTATCATTTGATCATCTATACGAGGATTTGGGGAACAAAGGCGGGGAAAATAAGTTATTCTGACTGGCTAAGGCGAGAGAGAGGAAGGTGCAAGATCTGGACCACGTGAGGTGCATCAAAGACGAGGATGGTAGTATTGATGGGAGAGGCTTAGATTAAGCGGAGATGGCAGACATACTTTCGTAAACTTCTGAATAGAGAGGGGGACTGGGATATTGTGCTAGGTGAATTGGACAATCCGAGGGTCACCGAGACTTTGGGTACTATAGGGGCATTCAGGTTGAGGAGGTCGTGGGGGCTATGAGTAAGATGAGTAGGGGTAGAGCAACCGGGCCAAACAAAATTCTGGTAGAATTCTGGAGGTATGTGGGTAAAGCAGGCTTTGGAGTGGCTGACCGAGCTGTTTAATGTTATTTTTAGGATGAAAAGGATGCTGGATGAGTAGAGGTGGAGTACGGTGGTACCGTTGTACAAGAACAAAGGTGATATCCAGAGTTACAACAACTATAGGGGTATCAAGTTACTAAGTCATACTATGAAAGTGTGGGAGAGGGTGGTAGAAATGATAGTGAGGAGGACGGTGTCTATATCCGACAACCAGTTCGGGTTCATGCCTGGTAGTTCGACTACGGAAGCAATCCACCTCATTATGAGGTTGGTGGAACAGTATAGGGATAGGACGAAGGATCTACTCTAGTGCTTATTGACATGGAGAAAGCGTATGACAAGGTCCCTAGGGAGGTTATTTGGAGATGTTTGGAGGCAAACGGTGTGCCGGTTGCCTACATTATGGCGATAAAGAACATGTACGATGGAGATAGGACTCGGGTTAGGACTGTGGGAGGCGACTTAGAGCACTTTCCGGTTGTTATGGGTTTACACCAAGGATCTGCGCTCAGCCCATTCTTATTTGCTTTGGTGATGGATGCATTGACACGACATATTCAAGGGGAGGTGCCATTGTGTATGTTCTTCGCTGATGATATAGTTCTGATTGATGAGATGCGAGGCGACGTTAACTAGAGGCTGGAGGTTTAGAGACAGGCCCATGAATCTAAGGGTTTCAAGTTGAGCAAGACTAAGACAGAATACCTCGAGTGCAAGTTCAGTATTGAGTCGAGAGAAGCATGCTTGGATGTGAGGCTTGGATCACAGGTCATCCCCAAGAGAGGCACTTTCAAGTACCTTGGGTCGGTTATCCAAGGGTATGAGGAGATCGACGAGGATGTCACACACCGTATAAGGGTGGGTGGATGAAATGAAGGTTAGTATGTGGAGTCCTGTGCGACAAGAAAGTGCCACTGATACTCAAAGGTAAGTTTTATAGAGTGGTGGTCAGACCGGCCATGTTGTACGGGGTAGAGTGTTGGCCAATTAAGAACTCATATATCCATAAGATGAAAGTAGCAGAGATGAGGATGTTGAGGTGATTAGGAATGAAGTTATTCGGGAGAAGGTGGGTGTGGCTCCTGTGGATGACAAGATGCGGGAAGCGAGGCTTAGCGGGCATGTGCGAAGGAGAAGCCCAGATGTCCCTCAAGAGGTGTGAGCAGTTGGCTTTGGTGGATTCGAGAAGATGGAGTGGGCGGCCTAAGAAGTATTGGGGGGAGATGATCAGGCAGGACATGACGTGGCTTTAGGTTTTCGAGGACATGGCCCTTGATAGGAAGGTGTGGAGGTCGAGCATTAGGGTGGTAGGTTAGGAGGTAGCTGAGCATTTTTCTACTTCGTTCCGGGTAGGAGGTTGGTCTGATAAGGTTTTGTCCTAGGCTGCTAGCGATTATTGTTGTGTCCACACTATTATTCCCTTTTCATAGTACCGGGCCTTATTCACTAATTTTTGTTAGTGTTTTTCATCTATTTTCTGGTATGATGTTGCTATATTCCTATGGTTCTGTTGATGGTACTCATATATTGTCTCTTTTTGTCTTCTCGAGCAAGGGTCTTTCGAAAACAACCTCTCTACTCTCGGGGATTGGGATAAGGTTTGCATACACTGAGTTGTTGTTATTGTTTACCTAACACTACGTAAGAGTGCTTTTACTGTAAAAAATTACTTTATGTAGGTAATCCAAACGGGCTTTTATAAGTTTCCTGCACTATACGCGGAGAGCTTGGATTAAAATATTCGACAATAACAAATCAATGGGTAGCTCATATCCGAATTGGAGAGGTCAAACTATTGACATTCACCAAAGTTAAATTGCCTAGTCATAAACTAGAGAGGTAAATCCTGTGGGTATAAGAGAGCAGTCAAATGAAACAAACTGCTGGCTTCACCCTTGGATTCTACTAACCCCCTTATCACAAAATCATCCATTCTCCTCATCCTCCAAAAGCAAACCCATTAATAAGCTTGTCTTTCTTCTCTCAAATTTCCACACTATTAATCAGCAATGCTTTCTCCAATTCTCTCTTCTCCTTCATCCTCTTCCACTCCCACTTCCCAATTTCCTCATTCTTTCCATTCTTCATTTTCATTTTTAACTAAACCCCTACACTTACCCTTTACTGTATCCTATAAAACAGCTAAAAAACCAACAACCAACTATTCATTTAAAGTTCAAGCAATGATTGAGAAAGAAGTAGCTGAATCCCAAAAGCCAGATACGTTTCTTCGAGAATCGGATATGGGGTCTAATGTTACTTCAAATTCGAGTTCCGTTAGAGGTCGATTTGAGAAAATGATAAGAGAAGCTCAAGACAGTGTTTGTTTGGCAATAGAAAAAGCGGACGGAGGAGCAAAGTTTAAGGAAGATGTTTGGTCAAGGCCTGGTGGCGGCGGTGGAATTAGTAGGGTTTTGCAAGATGGGGCTGTTTTTGAGAAGGCTGGTGTTAATGTTTCTGTTGTTTATGGTGTTATGCCTCCTGAAGCTTATCGGGCTGCTAGACCCACTGATAATGGGAATGTCAAGCCCGGTCCTATCCCCTTTTTTGCTGCTGGAGTTAGCTCTGTAAGTTTCCACATTTCTGCCCTTTTTCTAAAGTGTGTCACTTTCCCACATTTATCTTTTGTTCTTCAATTTTTTCTTGTCTTTTATGATAATATGTAATGGTAGTTTAGAATTTATGTTTCTTCAGTTTCTATTGCTTAGTTAACAGCCGGTAGAATGCTCGGTGGCGGAGCTAGGAATTTATATAACGGGATTCAAAAGTAGCAAGTTTTGAACCCCTTTGCTATTTCACGAAAATATTCTCTTATTACAAGGGAATTCAATAACTTATATATAATTAAAAAGCATACGTTGTTGTCCTATTTGCATAGTATAATTTTTCAACCAAGGGGTTCAGTTGAATCCACTTTCTTCAACCTAGCTCCACCATTGCGAATGCTAGAGCCTATTTCTCAATATTAAATACTAGTTCTGATCATCTGTTCGACTCTACTGGGAGCCATTTCGTTCCAATACTAAATCATTTTGTTAGAAACGAATTAGGGGTTCTCTACAATGTTCTTTAAATCTTACCCTTATCTGTATGCTATAAACTAAAGAATCAACTTTCTTAATTTCTTTTTCTTTTTTGGTGTTCGACAAAACTTTACTCCATCCAGAGTTTTATGTGAAAATTCTAAAGATTACTCTGTTTTATGTTTTCCCCAGGTGCTGCATCCAAAAAATCCATTTGCACCAACTTTACATTTTAATTATCGTTACTTTGAGACTGATGCGCCAAAAGGTATTCCTTCTCTTGATTATGGTTATTTGTTGCTGATGATTCCGATTTGTTTAAGATAGAACAAGATTTCATCAGTGATAAAGAAGAAATTGCACGAGATAGGACTGTAAAGTGATGCTGATTCCTACTTTCCTTTTGTATAATATCTGTAAAGAGAAACTCAATTTACTAGAAAAAAGAAGAGATAGCAATTCCAGACATAGGACTGGAGGGTGCTTCTATTTGGTGTGCATTGAATGCCATTAATGTTGTAGTAAGATGTATCGTTGGTGCTTGTTTTGCAGATCTACCTTGTAATCTTCATGATATAGTTGTCATTGGACTTGATAGTAAAAAGTTAATGCACCTCCAAGCGGTTCTTAACTTGCTTTGCTAGTTGCTACCTCCGGTAGGTTGCAGCAAGCGAAATCTTGTTATGGTTGCATGACTGACTTTGCATCGGGATTATATTCTTAAAATTGTACCAGGGAGGAATGAGGAAACTTAATCGTGTCGAAAACGTTGAAAGACATTATTTGGTTGAAGTGAGGTTTTACAATATGCAAGTTGATTTTTTTCTTTTTCCGCACCATGGCCCGTGTTTTATATCTCTATGCCTCTCACAAACTTGCATTACCAATAGTTTCTTTTAGGATATTGCAGTTTTAGTTCCTTAATTACATACAAACTTCAATATGGTTTTCGTAGTATCCAACTAAACAACACCACCACCAACAACGACCCAGTGTAGTCCCACAAGTGGGGTCTGGGGAGGATAGTGTGTATGCAGACCTTACTTCTATCCCGATGGGGCAGAGAGACTGTTTCCGAAAGACCCTCGGCTCAAGAAGACGAAAAGACAAAAAAGACAATATATCAGCACCATCACGGAAATAATAACAACACAAGAACCAGCGAATAGATGAAAGGCAGAAATAATGACCAGTAAATAAGGCCCGGCACAGTATCCAACTAAACACATTTGTTAAAATCACGTCGTAAGCTGTCTTTTGATATTGACGTAAACTTATTACTGATTTCATACACTCCCTGCAAGTTTGAAGAGAGGGAGGATAAATTGCTCTACATATTTTGCACCTTCTTGGTGCAAGTTTAAATGAAATTTCTCACCTTATAAAAAAATATCAAACTGAACATATTTTGACCAATTAGTATAAAATATTAAAACGACCACCTCTTATTAGAGAAGGTGACTAGTCATATATGGTTTAACAGTTAATAATTGGTTAAATTTGCAGAATTATTTGGAAATGAACCAAAACCACATATTTATTATAATAGGAACCTTGTGCTTTATTGGATATCACAAGTATCAGCATCGAATTTCTTTGTAACCTGGAATCACAATTTTCTTTTTGTTTTATCACTAACAAAAATTAGTGCATGACAGGAATGAACAAACTGCTGCAGTTATAAGTCATCAAGGTTGTCTAGATATACCTTTTATCATTTCATGTGTATGATATGCCATCCTGCTGATCAGCCTATAGAGGAGAGCTTTATCAACTATAAAGTTACTTGTGATCAATATAATTGCAGATGCACCAGGAGCACCAAGGCAATGGTGGTTTGGTGGTGGTACTGACCTTACACCTGCTTACATTTTCGAGGAGGATGTGAAGCACTTCCATTCGGTATAAGTGCACACATAGATGGTTTTCTTCTTTGAAATCTCTTTATCTTTAGTTCACAATTTCTGCATGTCAAACTGAGATAATTATACCACGAGAAATGCAGTGAAACATTTTTCCCATGTTTGATCATGATTTTCTGTTTGCATTACATGAAGCAGACCGACTGTTTTGTAGGTTCAAAAAGCTGCTTGTGATAAATTTGATGCTAGCTTCTACCCTCGGTTTAAGAAATGGTGTGATGACTATTTCTATATTAAGGTAAGCGAGTATTGTTTTCTAACATGTTGAAGTTGTTTTATATTTGAATTTTCTCGTCAAAATTTGGTGGAGTACTTAAGATAAATAGGGAAACTCTGCATGGGCCATTGAAATATTCTGAGTTTGGTTATTTACTCACTAGCTTTAGATTGTTTTAGCTGAACCATTAATAAATTTGATTTAAAACAACTTAACATTTCCAGACAAACCAGAGCCAGAGTTCCATATTAAGTAAATCACATGACTTACATGTGATACTATCTAGCAGCTAAATAGTCTTTTGACAGATGTAGCTCCTTGAATCACAGAAAACCGTCTAACAATCCTTCCCAATAGGTGCAATAGTTCTCTTGTGGTTTTTGAGGTCGTATATTGATCTGTTGTGATTCTTCCATGTTCACTCCTTAAATTGTAGGTTGAAGCTTCGGTTCCTCTAGAAACCTGCTTCTGTTGGTTGCTGGAACTGGCAATTGAAAGCTCTAAAATTTTGGCATTCCTGTTAAAGTACCTCTTGGGGTATTCACTTCTCACACCTGAAATCTCTACTCTCCCTTAGTAAAAGTATTATATAAGCCCAGAGATTCTCATAAAAGATATTTAGAGGCCTTCATAAACCTTTAGAAATATTTATGATATGTAACATGTTAATCCTCTTATGCAACTGTTTGCCCAAAGGCAAGCAATAGCGGCTCTTTCCCTTTCCTCTCTATATCTGCATATTTCTGTTCAGGACCAGCATTATTGTGCAGGATCCTTGAGTTGAAAAATCTTCCTTCTTTTCTGAATTTAAATTGTTGGAAGCTTATAATGGGGAAGGGGAGCCTTGGAGTAGCGGGTAAAGTTGTTGCCGAGGTCACGGGTTCAAGCCGCGGAAACGGCCTCTTGCAGAAATGCAGGGTAAGGCTGCGTACTATAGACCCTTGAGGTCCGACCCTTCCCCGGACCCCACGCATAGCAGGAGCTTAGTGCACCGGGCTGCCCTATGGAAGCGTATATTAATGGGCTTTCTCTTGTGTTGCCATTGCCTATTCTTTTAGTTGTTGAGTTGAAGTACGTTTCTTTATTCTGGTTGCCTATTCTTTTAATTGTTAAATCAAAGTATGGGCACGATATAGCTTTTCATTGAGCTTATTGTCTTGCAGCATCGTGATGAGAGGCGAGGTCTTGGAGGAATTTTCTTTGATGATCTGAACGACTACGATCAAGAAATGCTTCTTTCCTTTTCTACAGGTAAATGGTGTGAAAAGACCCACATGTGCTTGTAAATATTCTTTGTTAATGGAGGAGACAGAGCAGTCAACTTATCATAGACAAAGCTTCCTTTTTAGCCTAAAAGGCAAAATGACATCTGTTAGTTCGACAGCTTATCTCTAGAAGGGAGTGAGTTGTGTGCTATTTCCTCGTGTGCATTCCTTGGATGAATATCCTAGATGATAATGCCTTTAAGACTAAGAATTCAAGTGCTGCTAAAGGAGTTGTTGATATGCTGGAAACTATATTGCTGTACCAGATTTTATATCTTATTTTCATTTTTCCTGAAATAATTAGGATAATAACAATGCCTATTGATTGCTTAATCTAGCAACTATAGTTATTTCAAGCATGGAGAACTTTTCAATTGCTTTAATGGATAAAATACCTTCCTTGAAGTGTCAATTTTGGAATTGTAGAGTGTGCAAACTCCGTCATTCCAGCATATATACCTATCATAGAGAAGAGGAAGGATACCCCTTTCACGGACGAACACAAAGCATGGCAACAACTACGAAGGGGCCGCTATGTGGAATTCAACTTGGTGAAATACTCTGTTCCCTTAGTTTCTATTTTCCTATCTATAATGATAATTGTTTAACCCCTTCTTCCCCTTGTAATTGCAGGTTTATGACCGTGGAACTACATTTGGTCTCAAGACAGGAGGCAGGATCGAGAGCATTCTTGTATCTCTTCCATTAACAGCACGATGGGAGTATGACCATGTAAGTGCTTTATTGATATCATTCTTACATAAGAGGAAAGGTGGGAAAACATCTTTGAATATCAACTAAATGATTGTTCCTCAATGCAGAAACCAGAAGAAGGGACTGAAGAATGGAAACTCTTGGATGCTTGTATCAACCCTAAAGAATGGATCTGATAGTTATCAAATCGATGTAAAAGTTTGCCCGTGTTGGTCTTATGTTATTTTACCTTCTGCTATCAAAACTCATTCCTTATGATTTCTTTTGTTCTTTTTGTTGTGTTGGAGGCACCGGGAAGGTCGGGAATTTGCTGATGTAGATTTTTTTTAGGATTCTTAGTTGTATAACAGGATTGCATTTAGCCTAATATGATAGAGAGAAAATTTCTTATTTGAGTCGTGTATCTTATTCTTAACTTTTCAATTCCACTATCTGTACCTGTTATTGTAGCAATTGCGGGCAGGAGAAAATGTATGAAGTTTCGGTTATCTTTTCATGGTGTACAACGTATTTTATTTGAGGCATTCCTTTTTCCTGGCTGAATTTTTTTCTGCTTGTTTAAGAATTGGAGTATTCTCCTACTTCACCTATTTTCCCCTGGAGCTAGTAGTGATAATGCAGGTATATTTTAGATTCGAATGCTTGGTCATCCTGTGAGAATCGTGTGAACTCCCATGGCAAGTGCATATTTGACTTAGCTGGTACTTTTTTCCGGAGGGGAAAAAGCTATTGAAGATAGACTGTAGGATAAAAGAAATGAAGAAAGTGCATTTGAGGAATAAGAAAAGGATATGTGTCTGGTCCAAAACTTTGTTGGGGCCATAATTCATGATTGGTTGCCAAAGATGATAACCAACTGATACATATTAGCAGTATATGCCAGCTAAATTGAGCTAATTTGTGAACAATGGATGTGAACTACCCATGAATACCGTGTGCATTACTAGTAATTCTGCTCGTTCAATACAATTCGTGGGTATAAATGCTGTGTAACTAACTAAATAATATTCTTCTTCTTGATCATGCGCCTTTACAGATCAGCATGAAGTTCATGACAAGCAGAATTGTACATATCAAAGTTTGGAGGATGTATAAATGTAGTTGGTAGATGATGGCATGGCTTTAACTGGGAAACATGGAATGTGAGATGAAGTACGAAGGCAAGGGGTAGTGAAACCTTATAGGCATATGATCAACGTCCTCTCCAAAATCTAATCTGGTCGGAAAATACATAGCAACAACTAAACAGTGAATCTGCTGTGTTGAGTCTTGTATTAGACCCATTCTTCTTCTGCAAATACTATGTCAGACCTTTGTCATTCTGCTGGTGACTTTTTGTCGAGCTCGAGATAAGTGGGTACTTCAACAGCTTCAACCTGAGCTCCTACTGAACAGTTTCTTTATGCGGGGGTGTCACTTTGATGACTTCAACTGTCTATCATTCTCAATATGATGGGCGAAATGAGGTGTTAAGTCGTTGCTTGGAGATCTATTTAAGGTGCTTTTGTTCAAAGTCATATCATGAGTTGGTTGGTTCCTATCTATGGAAGTTCAATGGTGGTGTAATACTACTACCTATCATTCATCCATTAAAAATTACTCCTTCCGAAGCGTGTTATGCCTATGCTCCTCTAGTACATCTGCCTTATTTTCTAGGAAGAATCATCAAGAGGTGGGACTGGACCTCGTTCAGTAGGAGCTCAGGTTGAAGCTGTTGCAGTACCTCTTATCTCGAGCTCGATCAAAAAGTCACCAGCAGAATAACAAAGGTCTGACATAGTATTTGCAGAAGAAGAATGGGTCTAATATAAGATTCAACACAGCAGATTCAGTGTCCCAAAAGGCAAATGTACTAGAGGAGCATTGACATAAAATGCTTCATTAGGAGTAATTTTTATGGCAGAACCTTGGGTAGTATTACTCCACCATTCTTCCATAGATATGAACCAACCAAATCATGATATGACTTCGAATAAAAGCACCTTAAATAGATCTCCAAGTAATGATTTAATACCTCATTTTTGCCCCTCGAATTGGGAATGATAGGCAGTTGAAGTGATCAAAGTGAGATTCTGCATAAAGTGGATATCATTGTTGTTTGACTCAGGCACTCCACGCAACTAGAAAAATATGATCCCTTAATTCTTAAAGGTTGTCCTAACTCAGAGCTGTATAAGGATGGCAGAGGGCCAAGAAGTGCCCATATTTACTTGGTCTATCAACGATATCAAATTGTAGTCGTCCGTTTTACTTGACAACCTTTTTATGAACCATACTCATCGTTGCCATAATGCCCTGGTGATAATAGGCTGCAATAGACAGATAAGTATTACCTGATCTTTAACGTAGAATTTGTTAACAGTTCTTTCTATTGGAAGAAACACAACAGTGCGCAGTAATAGTAAGGGATGTGTTAACACGTTGCAGTAATTTTGTAAAATTATTATAATTAAACAAAAGCAATTACTATAGTCTACTTGCTCATTGCAAAGTTCTGGAAAAGTATGAAAAGCTAAAGGACACTGTACTATCCATTCCAATGTGGCTGGAATTTTCTTCAGAGAAGGAAAAGGATGACCAGAAGTAATTATAAGTAAAATACTAAGATTAGAAGCCGGCTTTAATTTTCTTCATTTGTACCAAGCCAATCGAATTCCTCAATCTTTTTCTAATTGAGTACAGAAATTACTGTACTTAGTTTTGATTGTCGGAGGAAACTATTTATCAGAGATCATTCAGAACTAAAGGGAAAAGAAGGATGTAAAAGAAAAGGAATAAAAGAAGTAACCGAAGATGATCGCATGCATAAAGTAAAGATGACAATAAAAATTAATTAGAGAACTGGTATAGTAAATTAAAAGACGTGAAGGTAAACAAAAAACTTATTTTAATATTTTGTCCTATTTATTTTTTGGGGAAGGAAAACAAATACATCCATGAACAAATTAAGCTCCTATTTCATTACCCCTCCCCTTAGATTCTACCAATACAGATTGATCATTAAAGAATTTAAGCATTGTATGGAGCTGGCATGGGCATGCCCTTGACAATACCGCAGAGAGGATGGTTGTCTGGGATGTTGTATTCATCCCTCAATGAACGGCTTGGTGAGAGAACGCTGAAATACAATTGCTCGCCCAAGTAAGTCTTCTCCCACATCTCTGACCTCAAGTTCCACATACCTGCATTGTCAAATGTCAACATTATTGCTGCCCATGAGTTTGGATAGACCTGGATGTTGTTCCTGCTTAAACCGTCAACCAAGTTGTAGTTCTTTCTCTTCTCAGGGCTCCACCTCCCGGGCTCGACAGCCACGGCGAAGAAGGAGTATCCGTCCAAGTGATAGGTGCGGATAGTCTTCTCGTGGTTCTCGAAGATGATTTCGACGAAGTTACGGAAGGTGGCGTTTTTCACATTTGCGGCAAGGTTGAGCTTGGTTTGGTCAGCGGGGGCTTCGTCAGCCATGAGATCGTATTTGAAGGCCTTATCGGTAGCTCCAAAGTACTCAACAAGCTTCAATGGAGTCTCGCCATCAGTGTGAGAGATACCGTTCAAGCCATATCGAAGCTTACCATCTACTTGGCTCATGGAGTTGAAGATCTTGATGGTGCGGGTGATGTTGATCTGTCCATAATGGTAGGATCCTTGTGGGTTGGGTCGGGCAGCACTAGCGGTGAGGTTCCATCTGAAGGAGCGGAACTGGTTCATGGACCAGGCAATGCCTTCGGTGTTCTCTGGTGGGGGTGTTGGGAGCTCAGGAGAAGCTGGGCCCTTGCCGTTGGCGTAGCGGATGATGGCCACGGAGGAAAGGGCTTGCTTCAAGAACCGGGTTGAAACAACCAAGTAATAGTCCTTAGGCTCCTGATCAGCGGTGACCAATACTGAGAGGCATTGACCAACATGGAGGTCCAAGGAATCGTAGATGTTTTGTACGGTGTGAGATCCCTCTAGCTCGACTAATTTCATTGGGTGACCTTGGAATCTGACGTTGACTGATGACCTCATACCAAGGTTGCAGAATCTGTACCTATAGGTCTTGCCGGCCTCCATGGTAAAGAGTGGCTCTTTTGCCTCACCAACCTTGGCAGATTTACCATTGATGATAATACCATCAGGCCTGCCAATGGTGCGTCCACCGTCCAAGATCTTTTTCAAGGTCTTGTGACCCTTGTTGTACCAATCCCCGACGAATACATTGTATTCGTCAGCAGGATTGTCAAAGGGAACTGGGATAAGAGCACGGCTGTGGACATTGAGGGCACCAAAACCACCCGCTGCCCGGTGCAAGGCTGTGGTTGGGAAGTAGTAGTAGCTACCGATTTGGTCCTTGACCTGGAAGCGGTAGGTGAAATTTTGACCGGGCATGATTGGGCACATGGTTCCCGGGGTACCATCTTGCCATGAGTTCTTCCTATGTTGGACACCGTTCCATGTAAGAAGGAACGGCTCGTCCAAATTGTTGAAGACGTTCACAACAATGTTGTTGTTAGAGGTACAGTTAATTCTAGGCCCGGGGAACTGACCATTGATGAGAATACCTTGTTGTGGCACACCCAATGGAGCAATTGTGCCATAGGTGACATTCCAGGTAAAGTAGAGGTAAGGGTCCTCAGCTATCACCCCTACAGAGAGACAAAGTAGCAAAGCCACAAATGTTACTTTACCACTTCCCATGGCGTTGTTTTTTTTTTATTTTTCAATCCCCAAACACAAAAACTCTTTTTGAAATTTGTTTTTTTGATGATTTTTTTTTTTTTTTTTGGGAGTTTTATTTTTTTACTCTCACAAGAAGAAGAGGAGACGCTTCTTCTTCTTATTTCTTCTTCCTGCTAGAGCTTGCACTATTCACCATCTCCATGAGGGCTTTTTATAGTAAGGGAAATCCCTCTGAGAACCGTAGGTTAATTACCGAAATGATCTCTTCGTCTCTCCTTTGAATGTTGGCTCATTCTTTCTTTCCATTTGATTCGCTCTATTCTTTCTTGGTTCTCCTTACATTTCTCGCCTTCCTATAGTTACCCTTTCCGGTTCTTCAGCATCACAAGTCTTCCTCTTTTTTTTTTTTTTTTTTTTTTTTTTTTTTTTATTATTATTATTATTATTATTATTATTATTATCTATATCTATATATTATTAAAAGGAGAGGAAAAAGCCCTCTCCTTAAGCCAAGTGGCAGCCTAAAAAAATGCCACATGGCATAATTGGTTACTAATTAGTTATTTAGTTTATAATTAGTTATTGGTTACTTATTTTTGAATTTAAATACATATAAAAAACGAAAATAATAAAATACAATAAAAAACTACCATATATATTAATTGGTTACTTTATTTGGATTAATAAATATAGATATCTTATAATTAAATATAAT